ATAAGGTAACACCTCCTGTCATAAGGTAACACAACACTTGTCATAATTTAATACAACACCTGTCATAAGGTAACACAACACCTGTCATAAGGTAACAAGCACCTGTCATATGGTAACACCTCCTGTCATAGCCATGCACTCTATCATAAGGTTACAACACCTGTCATAGAGTAACACCTCCTGTAAAAAGCGTACCACCTGTCATAAGAATGCTTCCTGTCATAATGTAACACCTCTGTCACTGTACACCTTCCTGTAGCACCTCCTGTCATAAAGTAACACCTGTCATAGGTAACACAACACCTGTCATAGGGTAACACAACACTTGTCATAATTTAATACAACACCTGTCTTAAGGTAACACCACCTGTCATAAAACACCTCCTGTCATAGGTAACACCTCCTGTCATAGTAACACATTGTTGTGGTCACAGATCAGGAAGCCGTTGATGGAGAGGAAGAGGCGGAAAGAATCAACACGAGCCTCAACGACCTGGCCAGACTGCTGGCTGAGGCCCCACCTGGTGAACGCAGGCCCCTGGTAACAGACCAAGCTGGAGAAGGCCGACATCCTCCAGGCTCACCGTCAAGCACCTGAAGGACCTCGACGGCCAGCAGGTCTGACGGCGGCGACGATAAACAACCGAGGGGAGACGGCGAAGGGCCCGCCAGCAGCTGGAGGCTTCACCAGGTGTATGGGCGTGGTGAGCCGGACTCTCAGTAAGGCGGGAAAGAGGCGTTGAGGGCGCCTCCAGCGCACCTCGTCCTGCCTGAAGACGCTACAGCCGCCCACCACGCCAGACGCCGCCCGCCAGCCGAGCGGAAGACGCCGTGGCAGCAAAGGCTCTCAGGGGGCTCGGGGCTCCTGTCACCTCCACCATCAAGTGTGGGGGCGGCGTCATCAAGCAGGGGAAGTGCCAGGGTGGGGTGCCAGTACCCTCGCGGCGCTGGTGCCGCGGCTACGGGGCGTCGCCTTCCTCGTCCAGGGGAATAGATCTTCTCCTGCCCCAGGAGGTAAGACGGTGAGGTCAGCACCTCCCCAGTGCCGCCACAGTGCCCCGACACCCCGTCAACACCTACCAGTGACCAGTGCCCCAGTGCCTCCCCAGTGCCTCCACCCCCGTGTCCGCCCATCCCCCCGCCTCCCACCCACCCTGTCCGCCTACCTCCGTTCCTGTGTCCACCCCGTGTCCGCCCACATCGCCCGCCTCACCCACCCACTGTCCCTTACCTCCGTTCCTGTGTCCACCCCGTGTCCGCCCAATCGCCCGCCTCACCCCACCCACTGTCCGCCTACCTCCGTTCCTGTATCACCCGTGTCACCCATCCCCCGTCTCACCCACCCACTGTCCGCCTACCTCCGTTCCTGTGTCACCCATGTGTCGCCCACCTCTATGTCTGTTTCCACCAGTGTCCCCCAACCAACCCACACCACCACGGTGACACCCTGTCTCCCCGCCTCTACCACCCACACAACAACTACCCACCCTCAACGTCCATATCCACAGTGTCCATCTATATCACGCCCATTCCACCTCCCGCCCACATCCACCCATTTCTCACCCATCCTACCACCTCCCACACACAACAACTTCCGATGATGTCTACACGCCCACCCCACCGCCCACACACCGCCCACACGCCACCCAGCGTGTCTCCTAAACCTTCCATCCTCCACCATTACCCCGGGCAGGAGGACATGGAGATGGAGGAGGACAAGGATGACTACGAGGAGGACATAGACATCGAGGAGGAGGACGGACCTTATGGCAGGCATGAGGAGAATGTGGCGCCCTGGTGAGCTCAATGATCACAGTGAGCTGAGTGAGGTTAGTCGTCTATAAACCATCACAAACCAATTGATCAGAAAATCCCATCTCAACCTGTGGGGAACTAGGTGGAGTCATCTCGTCTGATCGGGTGTGTGAGATCTTGCAGTGAGTTTAGTGTGATCTTGGGAGTGACGTAGCTTCATACTTAAATACTATAACAAAAATACAAGTGTGACTATGAATAGACATATCTGATCATAGTATAAGCCCTTGTTTACAAATAGAGAAAACTGAGAGTTGCAGGGTAAACAAATGAATATAACTTGACCATCTCTCTAATAATTGGTAAAAATTAAATGTTTGTAATTTTATTTAATTGTAAAAAATATAAATCGACTGTGATAATGTGTTGGGTTATGTTAATTATGACAATCAGGTGTTTGTAGGATATTGTACAATAGTAAGTATAAATTAATTAACATTTTAACATGGTCTTCTTGTTTACTTATGTATGTGTTATTATTAAAATTTTTAATATTCCTGAGGATTTTTCGTAAGATTTATTCAATTTTGTGATTTTTTCTTCTTTCCTTGATTACTGTTATAGTTTATCATTATTGAAAAAACTATAATTCTTTCATTTCTTTCATACCAAGAAAATAATCTCGTACTTTTTATAATATAACAAGAAAAATAAATCTGTAGGAACTAAAGAAAATATAGAAATAAACCAATATAGTATTAAGGTATATGATCTGTGATAATATGTAATAAAATATTCTAAAACACCTATTTAATCCATGTATTCCACCTGTAAAACAGAAATTATCGCTCAGAACCAGAAATTATCGCCCAGAACCTGAAATTATCGCTCAGAACGACAAATTATCGCCCAGAACCAGAAATTATCGCCCAGAACCACAAATTATAGCCCAGAATCAGAAATTATCGCCCAGAATCAGAAATTATCGCCCAGAACCACAAATTATCGCAGAACCACAAATATCGCCCAGAACCACAAATTATCGCCCGTACGTCACAAACAACGGGGATAAAGATCAGTATTGAGGAATATTACAGATTATTTCACGTCTGGGTGTGGTGGTGATTAATACCAAGTGAACGATAGTTAAGGATAATGATCGTTAATAAGGTAAGGCAAGATAGACAGACAGACAGACGGGTAGACAACTAAATCTGCCTGGAAACACCCCTCTCCTCACAGCCGTCATAACAACCCTACCGGTTATAGAGACTATCTCGGTAGTTATAGGCCTGTTGGGTGATTTAGAGGACTGTCTGCCTGATAATTCGTCTCAATTATAGGCCTGTGTGTGTGTCTTCTCAACTGTCTTTAACCTTTTCTCTTACTATATCTTTCTATCTCTCATTTTCGCCTCTATTCTCTCTCTCTCTCTATCTCTCTCTACAAATTACTACCACTACTACCACCCCCCCCTCACCTGCCTCCATTCACTCCCTATAATGAATGAATCAGCAAGACTTGTTGATATAACCTCGTCCCGATCCCTGCCCCTGGCTTAAACCCCATATAAATATAATTAATTAACTAAAATCTCCACAGAACAATAATTCTATCTAATACTAATAATAATTAATGATCTTTAGCTATTAATTGATTTTTTTAAAAATGTAATATTGGGTTTTATTTAAATTATATTGTTTTATTGTGTTGTGTTTCGGAGAGGTTATCCAGGCGTGTGTGTCCAAGCTGGAGAGGTGTGGCTAAGCCCGAAGTCTGATGGTTGTGGGTAAAGTGTTTCGTACGTCTGCCACTTCCTGCGTATGTGGTCAGTATCTTGATATTGCCACTACACCTGATACACTAATTAGCTCTCTACAGTACACCTGACACTAATTAGCTCTCTACGAGTACCTGACACACTAATTAGCTCTGTACACTACACCTGACACCTAATTAGCTCTCTACACTACACCTGGCACACTAATTATTCTCTGTACACTGACACACTAATTAGCTCTCTACAGTACACCTGACACTAATTGGCTCTCTCAGTCAGAGAAATACAATGCATATTTTTCTTAATTATTAACTCTATTATCTCTCTCTCTCTCTTTCATTTTTCTCTCATTTGTCTCTCTCTCTCTCTCTCTCTCTCTCTTTTGTTTATCTGTACAAGTTTTTCAGAAAGGGTAAAATTTCACACCTAAAATCTCAAAAGGTGTAAGTACACCTTCACCGCCTCCTACAGGTACGTAATTAACACCTGCTTTATAAGACCTAACCCTTACTAATGTCTTTATCTTCAGGGTATGTCTTCCTACGTCACCGCCTTCTGCTGAGAGAGAGAGAGAGAGAGAGAAACCACCGCTTGGCCTCCGGTGGTAGTGCAGGTACATGGCCCTGGAGGAAGAGGAAGAGGAGGGAGGAGGAAGAAGAAAGGGGAGGGTAGGAAGGGGGTAAGGAGAGGGAGGAGGAGGAGGAGTTAGTGTGGAGAAGATGGAGGAAGAGGAGGAGGAAGGAGTTGGGGAAGAGGAGGAGGTGGTGACGTTGAGAGAGATGGAAGGAGGAGGTGAAGGCTTGATGGGGCGTAGCAGTGGGAGGTGAAGGAGGAGAAGCGTGTGTGTGTGTCTGCGTCACTGATTACCGCGCGTGCTGCTGCTTGGCCAGGGGGCAGAGGGAGGGGTGTGGGTGGGGAAGAGGGTGGGGGAAGAAGGATGGAGGAGGGAAGGGGAGGTGAAACGGATGTAAATGGTACTTAGGGAAGGGAGGTGATAGGGGGAGGAGGAGGGGGGGAAAGGAGAGGAGGGAGGGAGGAAAGGGGGGGCGGATGTGACTCGTGTGTGCGTGGAGGAAGATGTGGACGGAACAGGTGTATATTTTCAACACGAGAGACAGGTGTGGGTTGTGGTGTGGCTGTTAATGTGGTGTGGTGTGGGTGTGGCATTGTAGTGTTGTAAACAATGGTGTGGTTATGGTGTGATTATACTGTACTATGGTATGGTGTGGTAGTAGTATGGTGTGGTATGGTGCAGTTATGGTGTGGTTACAATCACCATATGGAAGGCTGTTGTGTAGTGGTGGTGGTTGTGGTGTTATTCCTCTCTCTCTTTTTTGGGGTTGTTGGTTTATTCTTAGTAAAGGAGAGAGGGTGAAGGAGGATGAATGTTGGAGGATGAAGTTGGGGTGTACTCATGATTGAGGCCGGGAGATGGGGATGACCGCTGGATGATGACCGCTGGAGGATGGAGGATGACCGCTGGATGATGGAGGATGACCGCTGGATGATGGAGGATGACCGCTGGATGATGGAGGATGACCGCTGGATGATGGAGGATGACCGCTGGATGATGGAGGTGCCGCTGGATGATGGAGGATGACCGCTGGATGATGGAGGATGCTGGGGAGTTATCAAGGTGGGATGAGTGTGCGGGTGGGGGGTGATTGGGGTGGAGGGTTGGGTTGGAGTAGGGGGTGGAGGTGGGTTGGGTGGAGTGGTTGATGTATAGTGGTGATGTATGTGGTGGGGGTGGTTGTGGTGGGTGTTTGATGGGTGATGGAGGGGTGTGTTGAGTAGGGTGTGGGGGGGGTGGGGGGGAGTGATGGATGAGGGTGTTGGTGTGGTGGTGGGGGTTATGTAGGGTTATGTGTGGGATGGGTGTTGGGGTGGGGGTTATGGAGGAGGGGGTGTTTGTGGAGGGTTATGTAGTGTATGTAGTTTGATTTGTTGGTTGTTTGTGTGGTGTGTGTGTGATGGAGGAGGAGGGTGATGGAGGAGGGGTGATGGAGGAGGGTGATGGAGGAGGGGTGATGGAGGAGGGTGATGGAGGAGGGGGTGATGGAGGAGGGTGTGATGGAGGAGGAGGGTGATGGAGAGGGGTGATGGAGGAGGGGGTGATGGAGGAGGGTGGGGAGGGGGTGATGGAGGGTGATGGAGGAGGGGGTGATGGAGGAGGGTGATGGAGGACTGCGTTCACTCTTTTGAGTCGATACCCTTCCACACACACCACCACCACAAACCTTAAACACGTCCACAAACTGTAAGCCAATCAAAGCCCAAATCTCAAACACGCCCACAAACCCTAAACACGCCCACAATCCCCCAAACACGCCCACAATCTCCAAAACGCCCACAAAGTCCCGGCGTGGACTCCCAGCCCAGGCACTGTAGGCAACGTGTCCTCTTATATCTTATCAGCACAGTCATCCAATCATCCAATCATCCAATCGCCCCGTGGATGATTAGGACCAAACGACATCCGAGGACTCTATTTTCCTGATTGGACGTGGATGATTGGATGAATACTTTGATTAGCTACTCTGTATTGGTGATGGTGGAGATTATAGGAGATTGGAGATGATTAGGGATGATTGAAGATTGTTGGAGATGACGAAGGATGATTAGGGATTAAGGATTAGGTCAAATTAATAAAAACAAAAGACAATCGAATCATTCCTGAAAAGGAGGAGGAAAAAGTGTAACTCTGTTAAACTCAATAACTAACTACAAATAAACAAAACAAAAATCTAACTAAACAATAACAAAAGAGGGAAATATTTAGCTAAAACTCCCTTTCAAAAACATTCCACAAACAAAAGCATAAGTGAAATAAAGACGATTAAACACCATTCCTAAAAAACAGACTGGGACGTGTGGGAGGTTGGGTTGAGAGTGTCATCTGACCGACTAAGGCTCATTAGTTAGTAAAGTACACACACAAACGAGTCTACCCACCACTTGCAGATTTCATTAGCTGTATTGATCTGTGGGCGGTAGCCGGCCTTTACACGTTATTTGCCGTCTAAAACCACATCACTTGGCTCTACCATTGTGTTCTCGTCTAACCCGGGAGATGAGTGAGTTGGCAAATACCTAGAGGCCAGTGGAGCGTGTCTGTTGTGTGTGTGTGTGTGTGGGTGGGTGTGTGTGTGTGTGCAAGGACAGGTGTACATGAAAGGGTTTTCAGCACGTGTCATAATAACTCAACAGGTGTTTTATCGTCAGAGTCTGGTGGTGATAGTGATTGGTGGTGGTGGTAATACTCAGGTGGCGGTGCATTGACCCTTCAATATACTCCACCTTGTCCTCTGAAACTGAGAGAGAGAGAGAGTCCAAATTAAAATCCCATGCCCCTCCTCCCTCCTTCCTCCCTCCCCTCTCCCTCCCCCCACTCCCCCTCCTGATACCCAGGTGAAGGTGGCACTCCAACAAGGGGAGGTGGTGGGAAGGGGAAGTGGTGGAGGGAAGGTAAGGGAGGAGGGAGGTAGGAAGGGAGAAGTTGGGGAGGTGGGGGAGGGGGGGTTGGGGAGGTGGATTATCAAGGTGTTTCCGGGTCACATGGAGGTCAATTAGCCCCAGGTATGTAGGGGTCACAGCCTCCGGGGTCAAGGGCAGGGTCTGGATGCCCTGGGGGTCCTCCACTAAGGGCATCAGGGTGGGGTATGAGGCATTGTTGGGGGGTGTGTCTTTGTATGGGGTGCATATTTTAGTGTGTGTGTGTGTGTGTGTGTGTGTGTGTGTGTGTAAACTTGTGTAGAAGATCGTGTATGTGTGTTTGTATTAGGTTAGGTCAGGTAGGTTGGGTTAGGTTAGGTTAGGTTAGGTTGTGGGTTAGATTAGGTTAGGTTGGGTTAAATCTCCTGACCACCCACCTCTAGGCTCCCCTGCGGCTAGGTGCGTGCCGCAGGTAAGTATTCAAGAGTGACTGTAACCGCACATTCCGTTGGCTGCGGTCTGGTGAACTGTCTTCTGGGCCGTGCGGGAGTCATGATGTGGCCCACAGGCAGGAAAGAGAGAGAGAGAGAGAGGCTGTGTGCATTCGGTCGTGTGCGTGTAAGTTTGGCGTGCGGCATGTGGGCGTGGAGTGTGGCGTGGTTGTGCGTGGGGACGTGCGGCGTGCGGTTACACGTACTGTATATACGCTCTTGAATACTTCAGCCTTTAGTGAGTGAGGAGGACGTGTGGGCGTGGGGGGGGTGTGGACGTGGGCGTGGGGAGGGGGCGTGGCAGGACGTGGGCGTGGGGGTGGGCGTGTGGGACGTGGGCGTGGGGACGTGGGGCGTGCAGGATGGCGTGACGGGGCGTGGGGATGGGCGGCAGGACGTGGGCGTGGGGACGAGGCGTGTGTGCAGGACGTGTGGGGTGTGTAGGAGGGCGTGTGTGGGACGTGTGGTGGGGACGGGGTGTGCGGACGGGGCGTGGGGACGGGGACGTGGGCGGGGACGTGGGGCGTGTGCAGGACGTGGGCGTGGGGACGGAGGGCGTGTGTTCAGGACGTGACGTGGGCGGGGAGGTGCCCGGAGTGTGGACGTGTGTGGGCGGTCGTGCATAACAAAGGAAAAAAATAAAATACAGGAATAATAAAGGATATAAGAAGAACTGACCCGGGCCACCGTCAGGACGGGCCACCGTCAGACGGGCTACCACCGTCAGGACCCGGGCCACCGTCAGGACCTGGGCCACCGTCAGACCTGGGCGTCAGGACCCGGGCCACCGTCAGGACCCGGGCCACCGTCAGGACCCGGGCCACCGTCAGGACCCGGGCCACCGTCAGGACCCGGGCCACCGTCAGGACCCGGGCCACCGTCAGCCGGGCCACCGTCAGGACCGGGCCACCGTCAGGACCCGGGCCACCGTGGGCCACCGTCAGGACCCGGGCCACCGTCAGGACCCGAGCCACCGTCAGGACCCGGGCCACCGTCAGGACCCGGGCCACCGTCAGGACCCGGCCACCGTCAGGACCGGGCACTGTCAGGACCCGGCCACCGTCAGGACCCGGGCCACCGTCAGGACCGGCCACCGTCAGGACCCGGGCCACCGTCAGGACCCGGGCCACCGTCAGGACCCGGGCCACCGTCAGGACCGGGCCAGTCAGGACCCGGGCCACCGTCAGGACCCGGGCCACCGTGGGACCCGGGCCACCGTCAGGACCTGGGCCACCGTCAGGACCCGGGCCACCGTCAGGACCCGGCCACCGTCAGGACCCGGGCCACCGTCAGGACCCGGGCCGTAGCCGGATCAGGACCCGGGCCACCGTCAGACCCGGGCCACCGTCAGGACCCGGGCCCGTCAGACCCGGGTGGTGGGGTGGGCAGACCCGCCACCGTCAGACCCGCCACGAGGGGGGTGGGGCCACGTCAGGACCGGCTTCAGACCCGGGCCACGTGGGACCGGGCCAGTCAGGACCGGCCACGTCGGACCCGGGCAGTCAGACCCGACTCAGGCCGGGCCAGGTAGGACCCGGGCCACGTCGGACCCGGCACCGTCAGGACCCGGCCACCGTCAGACCCGGGCCACCGTCAGGAAGGAATAGTTTGACCAAGGGTACGTGTGGGTGCGTGAGGGAGGGGTGGTGGTGGTGAGGGGGGAAGGGGATGAGGGAGAGAGGAAGGAGGAGGGGGTGGGATGTGGGGGTGGTGAAAGGAGGAGGGATAGAGAAGGAGAGAGAGAGAGACGGAAGGATGGAAGGAATAATGGACAGAAGGAATGAAGGAGAGAAATGGAAGGACGTCACGGGTTGACTCTCAGCTAGAGGCAAAAAGAACAATGTTTCCTTAGGACGGTATCTTTAGAGTTGAGTGTGGGGGAGTTTGTGTGGGGGGGGGGGGGGGGTGTTTGTGGGGGTGTGTGGGGGTGGGGGTTGTGGTGGAGGTAAGTAGGTACTGGGGGAGTGTTGGGGGTGTGGTTGGGGGAGTGCGGTAAGGGAAAGCGTCGGGGCTGACCACTGTCCGCCCGCTCCTGACCGCAAGGTGCAGACCGACCATCAGTAGTGATCTGGGGCGGGGGTGGGGGAGGTGGGGTGGGGGAGGTGGGGTGGGGGAGGGGTGGGGTTGTGGTAGTGGTTGACTTGTTGTGGTGGTGGAGCAGTCCGGAAAGGAGGGCCAACACACACACACACACACACACACACACACACACACACACACACGGTTCATGTATATATTTCTAATTCTATCTACAAATTCAAAACAATCTATCTAACTGTCCATCTATCTATCGACAGGCGTTCATCTGATAAAATAGAAGAGTGAACACAAAACGAGAGAGAGAGAGAGAGAGAGAGAGAGAGAGAGAGAGAGAGAGAGAGTGACCGCAGGCAGTAACGGTCAGACAGACACACAGTAGACAACAATAAACCTCGTTAACTCCCTACCTTGTTAATCCAGGTGCATTGTGACCCTCTAACCTGTGTCTCGTTGTTCTCCAGGTAATGTCTCCTGTGTTTTCCAGGTGCTAGGCGGCCATCTTGAACTTAGATATGTAAACAGCAGCCATCTTGAACTCAATATATGTAAACAGCAGCCATCTTGAACTCAAATATATGAACAGCAGCCATCTTGAACTCAAATATGTAAACAGCGGCCATCTTGAACTCAAATATGCAACAAGCCATCTTGAACTCATGTATAAACAGCGGCATCTTGAACTAAATATGTAACAACGCCATCTTGAACTCAAATATGTAAACAGCAGCCATCTTGAACTCAAATATATATGAAAACAGCAGCCATCTTGAACTCAAATATGTAAACAGCGGCCATCTTGAACTCAAATATGTAAACAGCGACCATCTTGAACTCAGATATGTAAACAGCGACCATCTTGAACTCAAATATGTAAACAGCAGCCATCTTGAACTCAGATATGTAAACAGCAGCCATCTTGAACTCAAATATGTAAACAGCAGCCATCTTGAACTCAAATATGTAAACAGCAGCCATCTTGAACTCAAATATGTAACAGCAGCCATCTTGAACTCAAATATGTAAACAGCAGCCATCTTGAACTCAAATATGTAAACAGCAGCCATCTTGAATATGTAAACAGAGGCCATCTTGAACTCAAATATGTAAACAGCAGCCATCTTGAACTCAAATATGTAAACAGCGGCCATCTTGAACTCAAATATGTAAGCAGCGACCACTGAACTCAGATATGTAAACAGCGACCATCTTGAACTCAAATATGTAAACAGCAGCCATCTTGAACTCAGATATGTAACAGCAGCCATCTTGAACTCAAATATGTAAACAGCGGCCATCTTGAACTCAAATATGTAAACAGCAGCCATCTTGAACTCAAATATGTAACAGAGGCCATCTTGAACTCAAATATGTAAACAGCAGCCATCTTGAACTCAGATATGTAAACAGCAGCCATCTTGAACTCAAATATGTAAACAGCAGCCATCTTGAACTCAGATATGTAAACAGCGGCCATCTTGAACTCAATATAGCAGCATCTTGAACTCAAATATGTAAACAGCGGCCATCTTGAACTCAAATATGTAAACAGCAGCCATCTTGAACTTAGATATGTAAACAGCGGCCATCTTGAACTCAAATATGTAAACAGCGGCCATCTTGAACTCAAATATGTAAACAGAGGCCATCTTGAACTCAAATATGTAAACAGCGGCCATCTTGAACTCAAATATGTAAACAGAGGCCATCTTGAACTCAAATATGTAAACAGCGGCCATCTTGAACTCAAATATGAAAACAGCGACCATCTTGAACTCGGATATGCAATGTTAGTGAGAGAAAAAGTTTATATATATTATTAGTAAACATTAAAAGTATACAGTATAGATATGGTTATGTGAGTTTATAAAGGAGACAGTTTAAAAGTTGTTATACAGTACACAATAGAGCACAAAAAATATCGGAATATATTTTCACCCGAGGAGATAATTTCACTTTCTTCCCACGTGATAAACTTTCTAAAATTATCCATAACGAAAGTGAAAGTTTGTATTTGAAATAAAGTTTAGGAGAGAGAGAGAGAGAGAGAGAGAGAGAGAGAGAGAGAGAGAGAGAGAGGTGTTAAAACTATGTAGAATTATTCAACTTTCGTATTAGTTGTGACGACCACGTGTTACCACCACACCCCCCCACCCCTCTCTCTCTTGACCACATCTGAGAGAGGCGGGGATGGGGGGTGGGGGTGGAGGAGGGGGTGGGGTGGGGTGGTGGGGCTGGAGGAGGTGGGTGGGGTGAGAGGGGTGGGGTGGGGGTGGTGGGTGGGGTGGAGGAGGAGGGGTGGGTGGGGGGGGGAAGGGAGGAGGGGTGGAGGAGGGGTGGGGTGGAGGAGGGGTGGGGTGGAGGAGGGGTGGGGGTGGGGAGGGAGGGGTGGGTGGAGAGGGGTGGGTGGAGGAGGTGGGGGTGGGAGGAGGGGTGGGGTGGAGGAGGGGTGGGGTGGAGGTGGGGTGGAGGAGGGGTGGGGGTGGGAGAAGGGTGGGGGTGGAGGGGGAGGGGGGGGGTGAGGAGGGTAGGGAGGAGGGGTGGGGTGGGGGAGGGGTGGGGGAGAAGGGGGTGGGTGGAGGGAGGTGGGGGAGGAGGGTGGGGTGGGGAGGGTGGGGTGGAGGAGGGGTGGGGTGAGGGAGGGGGTGGAGGAGGGGTGGGGTGAGGGGGAGGTGGGGGTGAGGGGAGGGTGGGGTTGGGGGGGGTGGGAGGGGTGGGGTGGAGGAGAGCCGTCGAGGGGGGGGTGGTATTCTGGGTCTATGAATGTTCTATCTATCTATCTATCTATCTATCTATCTATCTCTCTATCTATCTATCTATCTATCTATAATTAAAACAAAATAGACAAAACTTATTCAAAAGCAATACATTCTTCTTCTCTCCCTCCTTCTCTCTCTTCTTCCTCCTTCTTTCTCTCCCTCTCTCCCTCGTCCTCTTTACTCTTCCTCTCTCCCTCCAGTTTCTTTCGTCCTTCTCCCCTTTCTCTCTATTCCATTTCCCTCTTCCTTCTCTTCCTCCCGTTTCTCTCCCCTTCCCTCCTCCTCCCTCTCTCAGTAGTGGTTAAGGATCACTCTCTAATGCTTGTTGAAATCACCACCATTTGAGAGAGAGAGAGAGAGAGAGAGAGAGAGAGAGAGAGAGAGAGAGAGAGAGAGAGAGAGAGAGACCTTCCCTCATTCACCACCAAGAGGCACTAAACTTAAACTCAACAAACATCAACTGATTAGCTTTCATCAGACCTCTTCTTCACCTATTGGGTTACAACCGACCAATACAAACAGTTACCAGTTACTTATTTAACCCCTTAATTACTACAACAACAACATTTCATCTCAATTAATATAACCCATTAGTGAAAATATCAGATACAAAACTATTATAAATTATTTTTGAATGAAGGAAATAAGTAGAATAAAATATTAAAGGATAAATGAGTAATTGGCAAGTGGTTTATGATCAAACGACCATCTAAGGTTCTAATGTCAGTCAATTATTTTTTTTTCTTAACTGGACCGAGCCTTTGAGTCCATTGTAACCTGGGATCATTTTAACTCATCGATTAAATGCTTGTCTATGGCGGTGAAGTGAGATATGAACCGAAATATCGACAGGTGTGTGAAATTAATTAATGTTTCTTTACGTATTAGGTTTATAGGTGATGTGACGTTATAACAAGTACTTATACCTGTACCAATGTTGTTATTCTTTAATGACCTCACCTGTAGCTTTACCTGTACTATTCACACACACACACACACACACTCACCTGTAAATAATAATCGACAATGTAGGAAGTGTAGATTTAAATTATTATGGGAAGCGTTGTGTAGTCGTGGTAAAGCAGTGGGCGTGGGATGTAACGTGGGCGTGGGTGTGTCGTGGGCGTGGGATGTGTAGTGGGTGTGGGCGTATTGTGGGCGTGGGATGTGTCGTGGGCGTGGGATGTGTCGTGGGTGTGGGTGTATCGTAGGTGTGGGATGTGCCGTGGGTGTGGAATGTGTAGTGGGCGTGGGATGTGTCGTTGGCGTGGGATGTCGTGGACGTGAGATGTATCGTTGGCGTGGGATGTATCGTTGACGTGGGATGTATCGTAGGCGTGGGATGTGTCGTGGGTGTGGGATGTGCCGTGGGTGTGTGGTGGGCGTGGGACAGGGGCTGGTCGGGGAACAATGGGCAGGTGTAATCACTCATCACATCAACAACACTGAAGTGACAATACCTGAGTGGACGTCAGTGCTACCAACAACACTTTATATTAACTTTAAATTCCCCTCTTCAGAATCCATCCTATATCACTTTAATACCGAAACTAAATCATTTAAAAACACTTATCTATATCCTAACCATAAATACGTTTAATAGAAATCCTTTAAATTAAAAGTATCATGATAATTAAAAAAAAAATGTGTAAGTGTAACAGTTGGTAGCCCTGATCGGCAGCCATCTTGGTGTGGAGAGGCCCAGAAACCATTGTTGTTGACACCTTCTCTTCGTCCCTGTAATATCTCAGATGACATAAATGGGAACCTGATGGTGATTGTTCCTTCCTTCCCCGGCAGGATATTTCACTGACAGGTAGAGGCCACGACCGCCGCGAGCTGGGTGGTGGTGGTAGTGGTGGTGGTAGGATATTTCCCTTCGTGTGATGTGCACCGACTGCCGACCGCTGGATGGTGCATCGAGGTAAACAACAAAACGGAATCTAACCGCCCGGAAAACGATGTAAGAGATTAATGGAGGGGATTTTAAGCCCTGGGGATTAATTAAACGCGGTTATGATACGGTATTTAGCTCTGTAAAATATTATATCGAATTTCGTGTTTGTGGGACTTAATGGGAGTTTTATTTTTGTTGTTTATTGGACTGGAAAAATATTAATCTGTTTATGATTTTTCCCGCCAAATTTTCCCGCGTTAATTTGTGAGTGAAATATAGTGTTGGAATGTCTGTTGATTATTTGGTGTTAGAGATATTATAGTACTGTACTCATACTACTACTACTACTACTATTACTACTACTACTTCATCTACTACTACAACTCTTTCTACTACTACTACTACTACTACATCGTTACTATCACAATTCCTGCTATTACTACTTACTATTGGAGCTATTACCATCACCACCACCACTATCACCACCACCACCACCACCATCACCACCACCACCATCACCACCACCATCACCACTATCACCACCACCACCCAAAATAACGACCATCAATTCAACACTACCTCCCCCACCACCACCATTAGCCACCCCCTCCCCCCCCTCTAGGCCAGGGTTTAGGGGGGGGGAGGAGGAGGCGTTAGGTATGTGGTCCTTCCCCCCCTCTCCCCCTCCCCCTCCCCTCATAACACTGGGGCTCACAGGTGAATGTTTAAAGGTCGTAACGATTACCTGTGTGTGTCACCTTCCTCCTGCTGTTCCTCTTGGTTCCTTCCTTCATCTTCCTACTACAGGAGTTGTGGGAGGGCTTATATCCTGCTGGGGAAGTCGCCAAATAGTCCTTCTACGGGAGTCCCTGGGGGATTTAAACACTGCCTCTACCTTGATATCCTTTAGGT